GATCTTGGAACCGACGGGTCCATTTACTAAATACCCGAAAATTTTTGGAACCGAAAAAAACCGAACCGAACCGACCCGCGCCCACCCCTATTCACGACTTCGCCCAAGAAAAACTACTCCAATGATGGAAAATGAAATCATATTTTTATGAATTAATTGAAATACACCACGGAATATTCGATTGGGTCAATATTTTGTTCAGTTCAACGTAACATTTATTTAACTGACGGTTGAATGTACTTCAAAAATTACCCATCATTTTTATTATGCTTAAATTAATTTAAAAAATTACAAAAGATGATATATCTAAAATGATACAAGTTAAACTTGTTTAATTCATGAAAATAGTTGATCGTAATATCGTTTAAAAGCAAATTCAAATCATGCATCGTGAGAAATTTACATTCGAGTAGTTTTTAAACGTAAAATCACAAGATATTCATCCTCGTCTGAAATGTTTTTCGGGGCAGCTAGAGGAAATAAAATGTGTTACGTTGAAGAGGTCAACCAAGTTTTCACACCGCATAGCCCGTACCATCAAGATTGTGAGCACATCATTTCGACAGAAGGGGTCGACCAGAAATGACCAAATATAAGCCGGACACAAGTCTAAGAAGATTGTCCAAAGTGGTTATATCCTCCAAGATTGTTCCATAAAGCTCCCACCTCGTCAGCAAATCTTAGCCCCTGAGAAGTCCATTTCTGGATGCTGCAGGAATAAAGGTGTTAGGTCGATCAATGTACAATTAGCTCAAAACATGTCCACATGTAAGGAAACTGAAGAAGAAGTGGAAGTGCTTTCTCAAATTTAACCGCAACCATAAATTTCTTCAGAATTTCTTGTTTTTGCATCTCATCACTAGTCGGAAGGCCCATGGATTTCTGTCGTTGATCAAACTGTATGCAGCATTTCAAGGAAAACACATTAACAATTCTGAATAGATGACAAAGATGAAAATAGATAAGAGAAGAACAAGCGCGCTTAGTTTTTCTTGGTCAGCAGTCGTATAGCACCATCATAATAATTATAATTTCCCATCAATTAGGCAAGCTTTCAACACATTTGAAAGAACACCAAGCCATTTTAACATGTATATTCAACAATTCTGCCCTGATGAAATATCTTTAACTTCAATTTAGTTCCATCAAGTACTAAATACTGGGCTGTATATAATGAGCAACAATTTAACTTGTTTTTCTTCTTTTGCATTGTCAAGTACCATCCAATCCTCCACAACAAATGCAATAGGGCAGGTTGGCAGGGATCTCGAAAATAAATGGAATGGAGTATAAGATGCATATTTTACCATCATCTTTTCCACTGTTGAACGCCTTTTCTGGGACCAGATCCGTGATTTTGCTGCTTCCAGGTTCAGCTTTCTGGGTATCAATCTCCTGCTCACCTTTTACCAAATATTTCCACCATTCCATTTTGTTGTGCTTGGTTACGAGGATAGAGATAGCTTTTTGATCCCCTGCAAGAAGTAAAGCAATAGTTGTGAATCTATTTCATATATCTTTCATAAACTCACCAACATTATACCAAATAACATCAGATTACCAGTTTGCAGGCTGCCCAATTCGTGATATCAATAAGGAAAAGATCATACTACTCCGATACATAGTTAGGGTACTTAACCAATGCAGATAGTTGTGTGCAATAGGGAAAAAAACAAACCTACCTAAGCTCCATAAGCGGTAGTCGACCTTGATAGGCTGAAAGAGTTCCCCCTGCAGGTATATAAACACGAATTAGAGACTCTTGAAGGATAATAACAACAAACAATGACTACTAACACAGCGGGATGAATATGAATTGATAGGAAGACAGGACAGGACACCTACATCAATAACCGAAGGCTGACCCTTGAGCCCAACTTTAAGATGATTCTTCTTTATTTCGCATGCAATTAACTTGGACTTTGTTCCACGAGGAACGGAAACAGTGACATTAACCTCCTGCAGAGATTGACCGCAAGAATAGTTATCCATGTCAAGGCCATTACTTCTACTAGGAGCTGCCCAGAAACAAAGAGGTACTAGTAACCCAGATAGCAACAACTTACGATGAAAACCAAAGAAGAATGTCGATAAGTGTTAGCCACAGAATGTATTTATGTGAGATCATACTCCCAAAAGAAGAGCATTCCTAATAACACGAAACAGCTGGATAAATAGAATTACAATAACAAAAGAGAGACCTTGTAACTCTAACTGTTGATTATGCAAGAATATATTGTTTGCAAATTTATGTCACAGATTCTCTAAAAATCACAATTTCCTTCTCTTTTCTTATTCAAGTTGACAGAAGAGGTCTGACAAATCAGGCTACCATCTCCATTGACATTTCAACTTTCAGAGGGGCGACAGAGCGAGAGGAGTTAATCAAATAAAAGTTAAGTTTTCCCCCTGTATGAGTAAAATTTTAATGAAAGCTACAAAGATTATCATGAAATACAAAACTTCAAAGCAAAAGTTCTTATTCTCTTGCTGAATCTCTGAAGTCAATGAAGAGAATGCCACTATAAATTCTGTGCCGTCATTAAGCCAGAATCCAGAAAGACAAATACAACTAATGCGTATAGTTTCTGGAACATGTATTTCGCAACTTTTGCTTCCATGATTTACCTAGGTTAAGCTAAAGAAAAGGAAATTGAAAGCTATACTTACTCTATCAATGCATTCAAAGATAAACCAAAACCCTAGAGCATAAACCTTGCACGCACAATTAAAATCAAAAGGGACAGCATGTTTGGTTGTGCTTAAAATTAACTCAAAGTTATTTATTTTGCCAAACAAGTTACTTTTCTTTTTTTCCCTAACAAAAACTTACTTTTCTTGAAAGTAAGGGGTATGCATTTAATTTAGACTTTCAAATAATTATATAGACTTTTGTTAAGTGGCTGACTTTTGTATAGTTCATGAACTTCTATATAGAGTTTTCACAATTACATGAAAGAGTTTCATATACTTTCGTAGACTTTCATTTTAAAAGACTATCATCGACATTGATAAACTTCAATTGACTTCTAATATAATATATATTCTATAAAAGGACATGTACAGACCATAACATATTCACACCTTATCTGAGAGGGTAGAATGAGACACAGCAATAAGAATGATGACATCTCAATCAATCCAAGTTGTGGGCAGGATAGGGAGAAGAAAGAGATGGGCTCTCATTAATGGATAATGTCACTTGTACTGTTGTGCATCCTTTTTTCTACATCATGCTTGACATTACCATTGTTGTCAAGCAACGATTGGTTGAAAAAACTGTCCAATGTTTTATTGCCACGTGGCAGAGTGTAAAACTTGGTGTACACTAAGTATGATTGCTCAATTCTCATTAATATACCATTTATTTCTATGAAAGAGCAACATATACGGACCATAATTTCTAACTTGCTTACTATGATATAAAACTTTCAAGCATACAGATTGAGACAACAATAGAGTCTTGCAAAAACAATCCAAGTATTAATATATCAAAACACAATCAATAAACAAACCCAAAATCTGTTTAATTCATTACTAATTCAAAATTTCAAAACAAAATCCAAAAACATTATTCATTACTAATTCAAATTTTAAGAAATTCAAAAAAAGTAGAATAAACAATTTCAAAACGGTGGAATTCATTACTAATTGTGTTCAAAAAGTTGAAAAATTCCATCAATTCATAAAACATCCATTCAGAACGTTCTTTGGGCACCATTTTCAAGAACTCAAACTTCGTTGCTCTAATATTAAGCACATCAAGTGCCTTGAAACGAGTATGATCATCCAAGTTTGGGATTTCCTTGATAACTTCCCAATAGTTACGCTCTTGTCAATTGATACGATAGTACGAGTGATCTTGTCAATGGCATGAACGAGCATGTCTATAACATCTGGTTGAGTATTGTTGGTCACAAATGAGAATAAATGTGATTGAGTTTGTCCAAATATTTTATTACATGCCATACGTTGACTGTATAAAGGAATTGGATATAAATACAATGAAAGAGTTTCATATAAATACAATTTGCTTAAACCTAGTAATTCATGAACTTCTTTATAGAGTTTTTCACAATTACATGAAAGAGTTTCATATACTTTCGTAGACTTTCATTTTAAAAGACTGTCAGACATTGATAAACTTCAATTGACTTCTAATATAATATATAGGTCATGTTTGAGTCACATTATTTTTATCATTCTCATTTTCTACTCATTTTTAACCACACATTCTTTAATAAAATAATATTTTCCATCACATCAATAATTTTTCCTTCATTTACAGCAACATATTCTCCATCACATCATCAATAAAAATTCATTCTTTTTCCAAAAATGTGCACTAAACGGGGGCATATTCTATAAAAGGACATATACAGACCATAACATATTCACACCTTATCTGAGAGAGTAGAATGAGACACATCAATAAGAATGATGACATCTCAATCAATCCAAGTTGTGGGCAGGATAGGGAGAAGAAAGAGATGGGCTCTCATTAATAGATAATGTCCATTGTACATCCTTTTTTCTACATCATGCTTGACATTACTATTGTTGTCAAGCAATGATTGGTTGAAAAAACATTTAAAAAAAAAAAAAACTGTCCAATGATGTATTGCCATGTGGTAGAGTGTAAAACTTGGTGTACACCAAATATGATTGCTCATTAATATACCATTTATTTATTTCTATAAAAGAGCAACATATATGGACCACAATTTCTAACTTGCTTACTATGCTATAAAACTTTCAAGCATACAAATTGAGACAACAATAGAGTCTTGCAAAAACAATCCAAGTACTAATATATCAAAATACAATCAATAATCAACCCAAAATCTGTTTAATTCATTACTAATTTAAAATTTAAAAAAAAATCCAAAAACATTAGAATTAACAATTTCAAACCTATAGTATTCATTAGTAATTCGAAATTTTAAGAAATCCAAAAAAAAAAAAATGTAGAATAAACAATTTAAAAACGTTGGAATTCATTACTAATTGTGTTCAAAAAGTTGACAAATTCCTTCAATTCATAAAACATCCATTCAGAACGCTCTTTGGGCGCCATTTTCAAGAACTCAAACTTCTTTGCTCTAGCATTGTGCACATCAAGTGCCTTGCAAGTCTATAACATCTGATTGAGTATTGTTGGTCACAAATGAGCTAGATTTTGCTTCAAACTCGGTTCGATTTAGTTTTCTAGTCATAAGGAGAACCACTGAACTCATTGGTTGAGAGGGTAATGGTGAAGTGAAGTGACTGGGAGATGAAGACTGATATAAAAGCTCCTGTTTATCACTTTGTAAGAATGGCCACTAACAAAATTATACATGAACTTAACAGATAAACCAACACCTCTGCTTTCTTTTGTCTCAAATGTTCTTGCGTCAATGTCATCCCCTAGCCCAATTGACTGTCTGCCAACAGCAGCTCCATTTCTAACTGCAATTCTCAAATCTTCGCATTCCGTCTATGAAATAGTTTTTATATGTAAGATGAGAATAGTGAAGAACTAAAATAAAATGAGTGTTAGTATATGAAACTACACATCACTAACTTGTATTGTTTAACTTTGTATATTGTTTAATAATAAAAAAAGCCTTCAAAATAATCCTCTCGTACTTACTAGCTGTCAGTTTCATTGTCACTGCCTCGTAAAGTCCCACCTATACCCAGAGCTATAACACACAGCATTAGCTAAGAGAAGTTAACCACTTGGCTATTGGGAACAAGTCCTTCGACACACAACTTTTATGTTAGGAGCTGGGAGAATGTTTTTTCTTACAGTTACCTTGCTCAGCGAGCCATTACCATCATGTCATCCACAAACGCCCACATCGACCATGAGTTTTAGTAACTCATTTCTCTCTTCCAATGTCCATACTTCATATTTTCCAAAACCCTTCTTTTTGGCATGAACTCAAGATCAGTAATGGAAAAAAATTGTGAACCTAATTATTTTGGTACATAAGGAGTTCAATACAAATTTCTAATAAAATTTGACCCCTAATTTTTTGTTACAAGCAATCAAAACAAGGCAAGGTAAATCACCGATTTCCGAATGTAGCCCAAAATTTCTAGATTAGAATCTATTATAATGTTGTGTAGGAGAGAACCTAGTATTAGCCGAAATAGCAAAATTGCATTGGTAGATTAGCGGGTAAGGTGGTTTGAGGCTTTGAGATTAATAATTGTTAATTACTAATTGAACAAGAATGGAACATTTGGGGGTTCAATGAATAAAAATTGTAACATTACAAATACAAGATGAAATTATTCTAAAAAATTTGGTGTCTTTCAAATGTTATTTTCTAAGGGTGTGTTTGATTGGAAAATTTTCCATGAAAAATGGCTTTTTTTTCATTCAAATTTCAACTTTTAGAATACTTGATTGCCCTTTTTTTCACAAAAAATATTTTCCAAGGTTTGAAAATATGTTTAGTTTTCCTTCTTTTTGAGAAAAATATTTTCTTTGGGGAATAGATTTTTATTTTTCTCAAAACAAGGAAAATATTTTCTTTTCTATGAGATATTTTTTATGTCAATTAAGCACGCCCTTTTTTTTAAAATCATGTCACATGTACAATATTGGTTGACAACATTTTATTTGGTATCATTATATCCATCTATTTTGAAAAATTGTTTTCTACCATCACATGCTAGAATTTCGATGATACGTGATTTTCAACCCTTATTGTCAACCAATGTTGTACATTAAAATTTTTTTTTTTATCTTATCAATTTTATGTAATTTTTGACATGAATAGTAATTTTTGTAGAAATCTTAATCTTAACAAGTTACAGTAAGGGTGTGTTTGATTATCAATATTTTCCATATAAAATGTGTTTTTTTTTTACCCAAATTTCTACTTTTGTTCTGTTTGATTGACATTTTTCCACATAAATCATTTTCCTAATTTTGGTCAAGTGACCATATTTTTCTCGAAATTAAGGAAAATATTTTTTTTTTAAGGGGAGTAAGATTTTATTTTCTAGAGAATTCACTCTCTCTTTCTCTCTTATCTATCCACTCTCTCTCGTCTACCCATCAATAAAAAATGAATAAGTATAATATTTTTTAGGTTGAAAACTAAATCAATCAAACATATTTAATTAATAATTTCCATACAAATAAGTTCGAGGCAATTGAATTGTCTAGAATTTATCTTCTTTCTATGCAAATTACACGTTCGTAATCAAACCCACATTAATTGTAACTTACAATTGATAGTTATTATATCTATAAATTTCATGACATGCTCGTGACAGAGGGTCCAACATACGCCGACTTGACATCAATTATGCAATTGAACGTTTAGGTTTGGGCCTTGTTCCACCAAGGATATTGTAGATAGTAGACAATCAGCATTCTACGGAATCAAATTATACCTTGTTTGGACTTCATTATTTTAAAAATATACTTTTTTCTATCTTACTTTTAATCAATCATTTTTTAATAAAATAATATTAAAAGCAAATTTATAATTTTTTTCTTAATTTTTAACCACACATTCTCCAAAAATATATATTTTTTTTAAAATACATTTGAAAAATGCTATTTGTAACCAAAAAATGTGTTTTTACCTGGGTCCAAACAAGGGCTGTATGTGCCCAATCCTAAGAGAGGCCCAATAATGATAGAGATTGTCAGGAAGCCCCTTGGTTTCAGTATCCCACAAATTATTAACTGTTTGGCGAGCAAATTTGTAAATTTATTATAAATTCGGCTAAAATCAAATATTAATTTCATTTTAACATTTATAACCATGGCTCATTATTATTTACACTTTTCGTAAGATTTACTTCTATTCTTTTTATTATCCAAATTTATAAAATATTTTTAAATTTGTCAAATAAAATTTTAGTAGCAGGTCATGTTCAAACCCAAAATCACAAATAGCTCGGGTTTAAATAATACCCTAGTTTTAAATTAAATAGTACTGGATATAGTTTGCTCATTAAAACCTTGCCTTAATTTGGAGCGTGTTAAAAAAAATTACGATTTGTGGGGCACAAAAAAACATCGACTCATGTGAGCCAAGTTGGCACAACTTTTATGTCTTGAGATAAGGGAGTATTTTCCTAATTTAAACCACTATGTTTTATTAGTAATGAAGAAAGAAATCACAAGTTTAAAAAGGAATAAATTCGATCTCCAACTAATGAAAGTAAGAAAAAACAAACAAAAGTTTGTCCCCCATGTGTTAAGGTACAACACCTATATTATGTCTTGCTAGATTTGGCATGCCTCATGTCTGCCACGAGCATTCAACAAAACCTAAAAAATCTAGACGAGTGAATTCATTCAAAGAAATCGTGGGCCCCCTCTCTTGTGAGTGGGTCTGTAAACCCTGATGACAAATAGTATGATCCTAAATAAAAACGAGTGATTGACAAGTATACATTATTTATGAGTTCATAGAAATGTGTACAAGTAAAAATAAAGTTTGATAATTTGTAAATTTTGCCTAATGGTGACTTGACTTCTTTTACATGCAAGAATAATACCATGACCACAATAGATTAATCATTAGTCATTACAAACAAAAAGTTAATTTTAATCATGACTTGCACTACTAAAATAATACAAAATTTTCTAGTGACCATTATTCAGTTTCCCAAAAAGGGACTATAATTTATACCTTTTTGTTCACAGAAAGTACGTATGATATTATACTACGGTTTTATACATTTAATTATTATTTGTCTCCAAATAACATGTTTTAGAGCAAAATCAAAGCGAACTTGAATAATTGAATATTGAAGAAAAATGCTTAAAATATTAATTGAAAAGCATTTCAGGGGTTTTTATTTTTTTATAACCGTGGATGTCCGGATCAATTTGCGCGCACTTCGACTAATCCCACAAGGTCCCGAGAATTACGACTGGATACTCATCTTAGTGGCCCTGAAGGGACTCGAACTGATGACTATTGGAGAGCAAATTCAAGACATTTCAGAGTTTTGTTGTTATGAAGAAAATAATAATACAAAAGATTTACATGGAAAATTTCGAATAAGACTCAAAAATAGAAATATTCAACTATATTAAAAAATTTGTACAATTATTTAGAATTTACCACACTTCCCAAACCCCCAGGCAAAACTCAAATTCGGATTGAGTGAAATTACAAAGGATCCTCAAGTCTCAACCCGACATAATCCATGATCATCTTAAAATTGGAATAAATAAAATAGTAAGGGCCTGCTTGAGAGTTGTGTTTTCCACTAATTGACTGTTTTTAGGTGACACGACGTGGGATTCTAAAGTGTCCAATACAACTAGAAAGCTAAAATTCCTATTCTACATTGAATAGACAAATATAATTCTAATTTAATCGGACAATATCACGTCAAAATCTCAACAATTTTCACCTTCACTCTGAATTGTTCAATGATCTCCAAATATGATTTTTTTTTCGGGTCTCCACAAAATTGAATAATGGGTTAATTTCACAAATGGTCACTAAAATTACAGCAAAATAACAAAATGATCACTGAAGTTCGAAACTTACATGAACGGTCACTCAATTTTCAGGCGCTTTAAAAAATGGTCACTGAAGTTAGTTTTAGGACATTCTTGTTCTAATTGAAACCTAAAGCACCAACACACGGCCATGAAATTACATGAAAATTTCAAAACGGTCACTGAAGTTTCAAAATTGCAGAAACGATCATTCAACTTTCATTCAGTTTCAGAAATGGTCACTGAAGTTAGTTCTAGGACTTTCATGTTTTAATTGAAACCTAAAGCACCAAAACACGGTCACGTAAAAGCTGGAGGACCTCAACTTCAAAATCCTCTCCCTCTCTCTAGAATTGCAAAAAATGCACAAAAAATCCGTCAAATTCCGGCGACGCAAACCACCTGATTTGGTACCAATGTCTTGCCCATAACATCAGCTTCCATTACATCCAAACATCATGAAATTTCACCCACAAAGTTGGAAGAAATCGAGGAAAATAAAAAACTGCCTCAAACTTTGCAATCTGCTGGAAACTGCACTTCCGGCCACCTCCATGCCATCGGACCTACACCGGTCGATGGCCCATGCTTAGGCGACCTCAAACATGCCAACAATCAACCCAAACTAATGCCCAACAGGTCGAATTTATTCAGCAAGAACAGACTGAACGGAACTTCGCGACAACGCACTGCTTGGCTGCAATTTTCGACTACATTCCGGCGAACTAGGGTCGCAAACCAACAGGGTTAGGTGCGTCTTCACCTGGCGCACCTAGCCCAGTAATGGGTCTTCACCAATTTGGCACCAATCAAAACGAATTTGGATCTGAACTCTTGGCTAGTGTGAACTCTGTCAAATTCGATGCAACCCAGGCCACCCAAGGCCTCGGATCACCTGGGCTAGCCCTCCCTCAGCCTTGCGCTCTTAGCCCAGTAATAGGCCTTCGCCAATTTCACCCAAAACCTGCTCGATTTGGTGGCTGCCATTGAAAGGGAGAGAAGGGAGAGCATTTTGAAGTTGAGATCCTCCAGCTTTTACGTGACCGTGTTTTGGTACTTCAGGTTTCAATTAGAACAAGAAAGTCCTAAAACTAATTTCACTGACCATTTTTGAAAGCGCCTGAAAGTTGAGTGACCGTTCATGCAAGTTCGAACTTCAGTGATCATTTTGTTATTTTGCTATAACTTCAGTGACCATTTGTGAAATTAACCCATTGAATAATGTATCTATGGTGCAACCCTCGTGTTAGGCTTTCCTAGAAGATCACGAGTCATCAACATAAATTCCACCATGCATACACTCTGACTTTTGGACTCGCTAACAATAACATATCCTCTATCGTAATAAATTTTTGGCTAAAAACACGTATCA